CTCCAGCGCTGTGCGCAAAGCTGGGATCGCCCACCTGTGAGTGAGCCACGTTACACACGCCGTTAGGTTTGGAAGTAGCTGTTACGGCCCTGCCAGCACGGTTCCGTACTCCAATACAGCGCTGTCTAAAGCCCTCAGCGGCACGCAGGGGTCCAGGGTCTCTGCGCCAATCAGAAAGCGCATACCTGGAACAGACACGCCCATTTTATAAGACATGCTTCGGTCCACAGGTGGTTATTACTGCGGTACTTGTGTTTTTTACCCTGAACGAGTCGGGGAACGGGCCAGCTCCTGCTCACGGCTCACTTTAATATCTGCTTTTGTCTTCATTTCATCACATCCGCTGGTTTTTGTGAAATAAGAGAACATGTTGCATGTTGTTCCTGCAGAGCTGCGTCTCAGTGGAGTAACGAGTGTTTCAGAAGTGCAGCGTCACGTTACTCTTATTTATCCAGTCTGACTGAACAAGGAAGCCTCTGTGATTTAATTCCACCCAAAGACGTCTTTGTTCATCCAGAGCAGCCGCAACAAGTAGTCCCAGCAGCTTTACTCAGGCAGGCTTACTGCTCTGTTACTACCTGGTGTGTGTGTGTGTGTGTGTGTGTGTGTGGACGGGTATTAACGTCTTCATGGGGACCAAACATTGGTAGTTTACTATACTCGTGGGGACAAACAGCCCTATTGGTCCCCACGAGTTTGAAGGCATTTTTGAGACTCAAAGTGTGGTTTTAGTGTCAGGGTTATGGTTAAGGTAAGCGGCTAGGGAAGCATTATGTCAATGAGATGTCCCCACAAGGGTATAAATACACACGCGTGTGTGTGTGTGAACTTTTCACGCTCACTTGTTTTTGCTTTTCTCAGTTACGGCATCGCCGGCAGCACCAATGTGACGGGCGATCAGGTGAAGAAGCTGGACATCCTGTCCAACGATCTGGTCATCAACATGCTGAAGTCATCGTTCAGCTCCTGCGTGCTGGTGTCTGAAGAGAACGACAAAGCCATCATAGTGGAGCCAGACAGGAGGGTAAGTGTGAGACCAGGTGAGATATTTGAGACCTTAAGCCTAACCAGGTTTAACGCTCCAGGTTCCTCTAAGAACCCACCGAGCCTGAAAAACCTGATCTTATTTGTGTGGGACGTCATCTGAAAACTGAGACGGATCATTCAGATATTTCTAAGTTGATTCTAAGTTCTAAGTACGCAGAGTTTTTTAAAAGTTCCTTTAACAATGAATTACACATCATCATGAGTGTAGCGTCCAGGGGAAATCTGCTTTGTAAAACCTTTGGAGCAAACTCAGAAACCAACTATTTTCTATGACATTTGACAGGTGCATAGATACAGTCAGATTCGGTGATCAGTGAAATTAGATAAGGCCTCAGATTCGCTGCCCAGAGGCGTTTCAAGGCAGCTGTTGCGACGCCTTTTTGTAGAAGCTCTCGTGTATATAACACGTCACATATTCACTGCATGTTTTTCTGCTTCTTCAGGGCAAATACATCGTGTGCTTTGATCCTTTGGACGGCTCCTCCAACATCGACTGTCTCGTCTCCATTGGCACCATCTTTGCCATTTACAAAAAGGTACCAGCTCAGGGTTAAGAGCTTATGATGAAACTGGTTTGTTCTTGATTTAAAAACTTAAAGTGTTGGCAAAGTGATTAAAAATCACTGTTTTTATTGGATTTCACAGCTGCATCACTTGCAGATGTTTAAAGCAGCGACTGGAAGCTAACTGATTTTATGATGTCGAATCAGCCAACAGAATCAATAATGACATGACTGATGCCGTTTCCCTCAGACCACAGATGATGAGCCCTGTGAGAAGGACGCTCTGCAGCCCGGCAGGAACCTCGTGGCAGCGGGCTACGCCCTCTACGGCAGCGCCACCATGGTAGTGCTCTCCACCGGCCAGGGAGTCAACTGCTTCATGCTCGACCCGGTTAGCGCTCTTTTGAAGGTTTCGCGTGTTCCACACAGAAACGCTGCAAACTGATTTTATCTACAAACATGTTTTTTTTTTACTGCTTTTTGCTGTTTAGGCGATCGGGGAGTTCATACTGGTCGAGCGGGATGTGAAGATCAAGAAACGAGGGAAGATTTACAGCTTGAATGAAGGTTATGCAAAGTACTTTGACCCTGCTGTCACAGAGTACCTGCAGAAGAAGAAGTTCCCTCAGGTAACGCAGGTGTCCAGACGTGTTTGTCTCCAGGGGGGAAATTTATACATTCCTGCAGTATCCACAAACATGCTGGATATACAATAAACACTAATAATGCACACTGATGTATCTTTACCGTGGACCTCGTCACTAAACACGTTGTTTTTTACCCCTGTAGGACGGCGGTGAGCCCTACGGCTCCCGCTACATTGGCTC